GGCAGACAGGAATGGGGACTGTGGCTTTCCTGAGGGGTCCAGAGGGTTGGAGAGAAGATGGGAAGGTTCCTCCTGCTTCCACTTTTCTGCAATATTCCCTAGTTAGTAAGTCTATTTATTGTGCTCTGCGTCAAACCAGTGATGAAAGAAAGATTTCTTTGGCTTAAAAAAAAGGTAACCACAGGCCCACATGTCTGCGATTCCCTTTTAGCTTTCAGAGCCCCTCCCTAGAGAGATGAGTGCATGGACCATCACACTGCTGTGACCTGGCCTTTCCTGGGGACCCTTCGTATGGGTACTGTTGAACGTGTGAGGTTGGGACGCCCCAAGGCAAAATGGCAACAGCTGATGTCCTTCCTCTTCCTCGGGAAGGTTTCTGCTCACGGTGCTCAGCCCACTGTTTGGTGGTCAAGGGCCATGATCACGAGGGCTGGATTCCGAATGGCCTGAGCTCAGCCGGCAGCAGCCTTTGTCTGAGCCTGTGCCCAGGGCCCGCCTCTCCCCAGGACATGAACCCAGTGGGCAAGCACTGCCACGAAAGGGGTGCAAACCTCGGTGAGCACCACAGCCAGAGAAAGTGTGTGCCATGGCCAGGCATGCACGCACCCCCCGGTGACTGCAAGAACCAACACAATGACCACCGGCCCCTCAGTGGTCAAGGTGGGGGGATCAAAAATAGGAGATGGCAGGCAGGCTACATAGAATTTAAATATAGGAGCCATCACTGGACTGGCTTAGGCAAAGGTGGACTTTTGGTGGTGGGAGGTGGGGGTGGAGTGACTCGAGAGAAAGTCTGAATTCAGTCCAGAAGCAGTTCAGATGGATGAGGGAAAGAGTCAGTCTCTGAAACGCTGCACCAAAGACAGAAGCCCCAAAGGCAAAGGGAACCTTCATGATCAGAGGGACTACAGGCATCTTGCTAAGGCCAGGAGGGCCAGGAGGAGAAAGAGGGGGAGCACAGAGCTGGGCTTCTGTGGGGCAGTGGTACTGCTGGTTGAGGAGCTTGGCTGGGGGTTCTGGCTAAGTCCAGAGTCCAGGGCTTTGCAGTCTGGCCAGAAACTGGCTTCTTTCAGGAGAGCTCCTGGGGAGGAAGTGGACTCTCGGAGCTCTGACACACCCTACCCTCCCCCCACCCCCGCGCCTCCTCCTGGCAAGCAGTCTTCCTCAGCCCTGCCCCCCCACAACCCTCAGGACCTTATGTTCCCCAAGCAGAAGTGACGACTGAACGCACAAATGCATGCAAACAAGAATGAATGCGGGGCCAGAGAGACAGTACAGCGGGAAGACGGCAGGAAGAGCACTTGCCTTGCATGTGGCCAACTCTGATTCAATCCCTGGCACCCCATGGGTCCCAGAATTCCGCCAGGACTAAACCCTGAGCACAGAGCCAAGAATAAACCCTGAGCATCATCGGGAGTGGCCCCCAAAATGAGTGAATGAGTGACCCGATGGTAAAATTTCTTCTAGGATGGGCCATTCTGCTTTGGTCAAATGCTGTTAGAAGTCAAAATTAGCACTCAGCTGCATTTCAGGGAAAGAAGAAAGCGTGGGGGTCAGGGGGTCAGGGTGGAGGGTGGGGGAAGAGGCAAGAAAGAGACTTGGAAGCTTCGGCACAGCTGAGAGGCCAGAAAACACTAGGGCCAAGAGAGGGGGATGCTTTCCCCAGTAAAGGAGGTCCAAGTAGTCCAGGCTTATGAATTTCCTGTTTTGAAAACTTTCTTGGGACAACACTGGCCATGTACACTATCTGCTTCGGCAGGAGGTGTGCCCTATCTGGAGGAATCCCGGACACGTGGTCTGGTCCACAGGTGGAAGTGCCATGGAAACACTCAGACCTGCTGGTGACTTCATCCCCTGAGCCACAGGGGGGTTGCCATCCCTCCATCCTCTTTGCCCCCGGAGCTCAATGACTCGTGTGTTGGTCGCAGAGAGCTTCAGCAGGACAGTAAAGAAATGCTCTACGATGGGGAGTTATGAATCAGTAAACATATAAGGTTGCTGAAAACATACACATGTATGAAACGTACTAGTATATAGAATTTTTTTTTTTGGAGGAAAGTTTTGTTTCCCTGTTTAGTAAAAAAATAAATGATGATGAATGGCAACTTTGCATAAACAGGATGTCCGTTCATTTAAAATTAGAAAGAACATTTCTTAATCCTGCTGCTAAATAAATGACAATATTTTGAATTCTCCTCCTAATTACTTGTGAGCAGCCCTCTGTAGAGATTGCTGCAGGATGGGGCATGCACCTTTCTCGGTGGGGCGTCAGGAATATTCCAGTTCTGTGCTTCCCAACAGCAAATCCGCCTCTGAGCAGGGCTCGCCGGTCTGGCATGAGCCGGAGTCTGCTCCTGTCTCAGGGAGAAGGCCTGTGCAGTGACCGTTCACTTTTTCTCCTCATGTGGGACCAATTGACCTCTGGACAGCTTGGGGCCCCCACTCACGACAGACACAACCCTCATCCCCAAGCCTTCCTCTTCCCTCCACTTAAACACAGAGAGAACAACACACTTATTTCACAAGGAAGTCAGACATGGCTTGGATGATGTTTCTTGGTTCCCAGAAGATAAATCATTCTCCTATTGGAACCAGCACAATAATGCAGTGGTAGGGTGTTTGCCTTGGATGCAAAAGACCTGGGTTAACCCCCTACATTCTACAAGGTCCTCTGAACACCACCAGGAGTAATTCCTGAGTGTAGAACCAAGAGTAAGTCCCGAGCGATGCTGGGTGTGGCCCCCAAACAAACAAAAATATGCTCTGAGCTGTGCAAAGTGGCCCTCAGACCACGGATACAAGTGGCTTGGCCATGGGCTGCTTAATGGCAGCTAGTTAGGGGGGTTCTTCATGGCCTACATCATCAGGGGCGATGAGGCAAAGCTGGAGGGTACAGGTCATACTTGCAGAAACCACTGTGTCCGACACTGGCTGAAGCTTCTGGGCCATGTGCTGATGACCCGTGCGTCCCCCCTCCCCAACCCCCTAGACCACCGCAGATGCGCAGACGCATCCAGCAAACTAGTTGAGGCTCCCAGGTTCTCCAGACTAATTCCCACACTTCATCTGCTTTTGGAGGTTTGGGATCCCTGACCAGCTGGGGCTACCTATGCATCAGGGCTGTGCAGGACCGAGCATCCACTCCCTTTCTGGGTGAACCCCAGTCAGCCTCAGAGGCACTTGTGAACACCACCAGAAGAGGTCCCTGGGCACAGAGCAAGGAGTGGTCCGTGGGCACAGAGGCAGGAGTGGTCCCTGAGCACAGCCTTGTGTGCCCCTCCCCCCAAATAAATAAGAACAAATGAATGGGACAGAGCTAAGTGCAGAATAAATCCACCACAAAGGCCAGTAAGGGAAGCCAGGGAAACCAGTAAGGGAGGAAAATCAGTGCAGGGCAATGATTCAGACCCCAGGGTGCACTTACGAGCGAGCCACACACTCACCCAGGGCCCTAATGGATGGGCTAGCCACACGCTCATCCAGGATTTTGGCTCCCAGTTGGTCTAAGATAAAGGGAAGAGCATTCTGGGTCCCAACAGGGCTAAGGACCCTGTTTAGTCTTGAGCAATGGGACAGGACAAAGTAAGACACCAAAATAAGCTCAGGACCAACCACACTGACAGCTAGGACTTATTTTCTTAACTGGGGTCATACCTAGCAGTGTTCAGGGGCTATTCCTGATTTGTCATTTGGGGGTCTCTCCCTGTGGTGTTCAGTGGGTCATGTGGTGCCAGCAATCTGACAGCTATCTCCTAGACCACTCGAATTTGGTGGGGTGAGCCAAACTGGTGGTACTTAGGGGCCACCAGAGCTGTGTCCTGCAGAGCTTGGGAGGCCTTGTGGGCTGGGATCAAACCCATTCTCTTTCTGCTCTATCCTCACTATCCCTGGCCTCATGATTTTCTAAGATGCCAACTTGGAAAGGCTATATAATATGTGTGTGTGTGTGTGTGTGTGTGTGTGTGTGTGTGTGTGTGTGTTGATTTTTGAGGCACACCTTATGATGCTTAGGGGCTAATCCCAGCTCAGAGGAGCATGTGGTAGTGGGGACTGAACCCGGGCTTCCTGTGTGCAAAGTTTGCACTCCGCCCCTTTGAGCCCTTGAAGCTCATTCGTCAGCCCTGCAAGGTACCTGCAAGGAGCGGATAAGGAAGAAGATTCATTCTCACAGAGGTTCAGCAGACAATAAGATGATCAATGTCCTTTAAGGTTCATGTTCAATAACAGACTCTCTCTGGATTCCGTGTACCAAGATAGTCCCTTTGTGCCCAGGGAGCTAGCAAGAACCACGGAGGAATAAAAGGCCGAAGCCAATGGGACCAGAGGGAAAGGGAAGTTCATGGCGAGCGGAGTGGACAGAGAAGGGTGAATGGATGTGGAACTGGCTCCAGGGGCTTCCCTGCCCGCCCGGGGCCTTGCTTCTGTGTGGGGAGTGAGCAGATGCCCCAAGGACCAGAGACATCCCAGCCTTGAGTCTGCAGAGTGAAGTGCCCTCAACACCAGCTCCTGGGGACGCGGGGGCCTCACTTACCCGCATCCTTCAGAGCTAGGGAGGGACGTGCGGTGGCAAGAGGCGAGTGGCCCTGGGCCCGGAGCTTGTGCATCATTTCCCAGGCCCCGTCCCCGAGATCCGGAAGCAGCGGGAGGGTCCCGCGGTTTGTCGCCTCTTTTCCTGACCTACCTTTCTCCACACGTCGCCAAGGCCCCGCAGAGGGGCAGGCGCCACATTGCTCTGGCTTTACGAACACGGGCAGAGGTGACAGAATGGCAGAGGGAGCAACAGCAGAGACTGCAAGGTGGGGAGGCGCACACACCACACAGAAGCTTCCGGTCTGAGAAGAAAGCGGCGCTTGGCTTTTTCCTTTAAGTCTCGCAGAGACTTGAATGGGCAGTGCCAAAGCAAGGCAAGTTCTTGGAGGAGGCGAGGGGAGCCATGCGAAGCAGCGCATGCCGCAGAAGGTCCCCCCGGAGAGCTCCAAAGCAAGCATGCATATACATACCCAACCTGGGCACTGTCGCCATACGGCAGCACGGAAAATATACTACAGAAGGATCTTCTGCCACTGATAAGGACTATTCTACAAAATAAAAGAAAAGGAAAAAAAAGAACAAACAAACTAAATGCAAAGACTCTTAAATGAAAAAAAAAAAAAAAGAAACAAACTTGACAGCAATTTAGCATTCACAGAATTCACAGCGGTTTCTGCTCGCTCCTGCCACCTCCTCTCTAGCCAGATGGTGGTTTGCTCTCCGTGCAGAATGCAGCCTCGGTACGGGAAAAGGCGGCTGCGGCTCCAGACCCAACGCCAGCACGCGAGACCCCAGCGAGGGGCTGCCAGGAGCCCACAGACCCTTTTCCCACAGGAGCTGCCGGCTGTGGGAGCACATGCAGGGCGAGCAGGCAGGGCCAGGAGTCGGGTGCCCGGTGCTGAGCGCGCAGCCATGCCACAGGGAAACCACCAGTCTCTACTCTTTGGTCAACACTGCGCTGCGGGGTGCCAGCAGCCCTGGGTAGCAGAGGCACTCGCATGCCACTATGATGGTCAGGGGTTGGGTTCGTTCTGATATGCTGGCAGGGTGCTAGGTTCTGAGAATAAATTCAGGGAACAATTACGTAATCAGCCTTAGGCTCCATCCCTGCTGTAAAGATACCCCTGGAAACAGCACTACATGTTGCTCTTATGCAATCAAAGGCCACTTAGAAAACATTAAAAAGAAAAAAACCCAACTCTCAAAAAAATACTTATCCAGGCATCTGAGAATAACGTCTGCCAGTGAGAATTGCTAAAGAAAAAACAAAATGGAGAAATGCGTGGAGATTAAAAAAAAAACAAAATTATTTTTTAGCAGAATGACAATTCAAATCGGATCTGGAGCCCACTGGCATTTCTAAGTTTTACTTCAGTAATTATGTAAAAATTTGGGGAAATAAACAGACAAACAATCAGTTTTCCTGACTACAGCAAGGTGTGGGCTGTCCGGCCTCCTCTAACGGCTCTTGCTCCTGGGCTCTCTGGCGTGGCCAGCAAGCTGTTTTCTGGATCTTTCTGCCTCTCAGGCCTCCACACCGATGACATTTCCCTCTGTCCTTGATCGCTCAGTCATACTTAAGGACCTTCTAGGGCAATTTTGTAATCCAGTGAACTGAGGGGGCTGGAGAAACAGTACGGCGGGTAGGCCGCTCGCCTTGCATGCAGCTAGACCCGGGTCAGTCCTGGCACCGTATGACCGCCGAGCTCCACCAGGAGTGACCCTGAGAGCAGAGCCAGAACGGCCCTCAGCACCACCAGGCGCCGCCTAACCCAAGATTACATTAAAAAGAAAAACAGAAAAAGAACTTGCGGCACCCCCACCTTCAAGCAAACAAACAGCCCTCCTGGCTCACGCCTCTGTCCTTCGGGGCTCTTTCCTCTGCCTGCAGCACCTCGCTTGGCACCAGGTGAACTCATCCACATTCCTCAGAAACTAGCTCAGCAGTCACTTCCCTGGGAACCATTTCCTCCGTCTTGGCTGAGTTACTTGTCCCGTTTCTGGAGCCACCTCCACACCTTATTTCCACTCACAGGGACTGGCTTCGAGGTGCCCGTACTGCCTACAGGCCACCAGGACGGTGCTGGCGGCTTGGCCCTCGGCCATTCCTGACAGGCTGCCTGCCCCACCACAACGTCCGGCCAGGCCAGCCCATGGCTGAGGCACGGCCCACTCCCGGAGCACGGAATGTGATCACTTTCTCTCTCACCGACATGTTCTAGAGCAAAGGTGTCTGAGACTGCCAAGAAAACAGGCATGACCAGAGGGAGGGAGGGCATGTGCGTGTGCGTGCGTGCGTGCGTGCGTGTGTGTGTGTGAGAGAGAGAGAGAGAGAAAGAGAGGTGAGTGTTGTACCTACTGTGTGTATCTATGATAAGGTAGAAACATTATTTAATACTATTCTGAATCTTCATTCCTCAATAACATTTTAATTTTTTTTAATATTCATTTTTTTTTGCCTTTTGGGTCACACCCGGCATTGCACAGGGGTTACTCCTGGCTCATGCACTCAGGAATTACTCCTGGCAGTGGCTCAGGGGACCATATGGGATGCTGGGAATCAACCCAGGTTGGCCGCGTGCAAGGCAAATGCCCTACACAGTGCTATCACTCCAGCCCCACATTTTAATTTTTAAAAATTAAGGGAAGGTTGGGGCTGGAGAGATAGTACAGCAGGTAAGGTGCTTGCTTCGCATGTGGCTGACCTGGGTTCAACCCCCGTAAGCCATATGGTTCCCCAAGCACTTCCAGGAGTGATCCCTGAATATAGAGTCAACAGTAAGCCGGAGCACCACAGGATGAGGTCCAATCCCCAACCCCCAGTGCCCCCAAAAGAGTAAAGTCTGCTGGTGCATTTGAACAGGCAGCCATGCACTACTTAGACACTATGTCTGTCTTTCTCAAAATTTTCTGCACTGGCCTCCAGGTCTCTGGGCTGGTCATGGAGGGGCCAGAAAGACCAATCTCCACAGCCCACACATCAGTGCATAGGTCTCCCATATGCCCCCAACCCATCCCTCTGCAGCCTGGTTCCTTTCATAGGGGAGGATAGAGGGAACCCACATACCGAACCATCACCCTTGCCTTCCACCCAGGAGCAAATCTGAAACAATTCCTGTCACTTGGCATTCACGTTTTCTGAAACACAGAGGGAGGAGCGTGTTGAACAAATGCCACTGGCTTAGCATGGAACATTTTCTTCATTCCTCAGCACTAACATGGCCTTCCTTCCCCAGAACCCTATCTGCTTGGACATTTGGATGAGAAGAAGAAAACAAAAGAATAGAAATGCATGCAAAAAAAAAAAACAAGTATTCTTCCCCAAGTTTCAACCACAAGAAGCCTGTCGGCAATGGGTGGCTCTGTTCTGTGCACTGAGAAAAACTTGCTAACCCAACACTCAGTTCAACTTAGTGGCTGCGAAGATGGACTGTCATCCAAGTCCCAGGGGAAGGCCTGTCTCTGCTGGGTCGTTCTGGTGCAGACAGAGGGGAGGAGGGAAGGAGCGCTGCATCTTCTGGCCCTTTCCTTCCACCCTTGAGTCTGATCTTGCCCGGGACTCCGACTTTCTACAGGAATTGCAGGTAGAATTCCAAGCAAGACCAGTGCTCCCTCTACAATAGGTTTGCAGCTATTTGGGCCTAAGAAAGCTGAAAAAACCCAAGGAAGCGCCCTGCAACCTAACCCACATGTCATTCGACCTTGTGCTGAAATCCAGAAAGGATGCCTGCCTTGGCCGGAGTGGCGAGCAAGGGTCTCTGTTCCCTGCATGCACAGCATTGAGAGGTGAGGTCACAACACCCAACCCCATGTCCAGAACCAGGAGGATGCATGTGGATCAGTTTTGCTCTGTGTGAGCATGGGGCTGTGTCCACCATGGAAATGTTGCAGAAAAGCTTCTATTTGTGAAAGAATTCAGCGGCCAGGGACCAAGAGAAGACAGCCAGACAGCATTTCCAATGGGCTCCAGGAAATAGATCTCCTCCATTCACGCCTGCGTCTCCGACCACTATAGCAAGCTTCTTTCACGCCCCAGTGGCCTACCAAAAATCCACATGATTTTCCCCATCTTTGATGTGTGACACATGAGTCCAGAAGACCAGAAGGCATTCCACAAGACTGTGACTTCAAAAGAGGAATTAAGTCTGGGGCGAGGGATCTTTAAGGAATGAATAATCACATTCCTATGCACACAGCTGCCCGAGGGGCACAGAGACAAGTTTCCCAAGGGTGGGCCTGGCAATGGGCAAGCTCCTCTCCCTCTGGAGTGCCCCAAACCCTTCCAAGAAACACAGAGATGCTCTGCACTCTGCACTGCCCAACCTTCTTCTAGTGGCTGGGTTTCCCTGCTCACCTGCCCATGAGCTAGCCGGGCTGTTCACAAACCACTATGGGCCACTCTCATGCAACCTGCAGCAAAACACCTAGACCGCTGGACGACAGAATCTGATCAGGCAACATCCAATGCCTCCAGACGTTTCTCTCCTATGCCAATGGCTGGCTTCTAGATCTATTTAATTTATTTGATTTTAGGTTTTGGGACCACAACTGGCAGTGTCAGAGATACTGCTGACTTTGGGCTAGGGGTCCAAGTGGAGCCAAGGATCTGAGTCATCGAATTCAGAGCAAGCGCCTTATGCCCAGTCCTTTCTCTCCAGCCCAACCTCTGTTTCTATTTCCAGAACCCTAGGGGAAGTGGCAGAGACGGAGACTCTGTGTTTGTGTGTGTGTGTGTGTTGGGGGGGCGGGGGGAGGAGAGGAAGGGAAGCTGTGATAACATTCAATTTATTCCAGGTAGAATATTCTATTATAGCAAAAATAAGTCTCTTTATGAAAAGCAAGAAACCAACTTTCAAAATTCGAGGAACAAAACCAAACCACCAGCCACAACATGAGTACGGTGGCCCAGAGACAGCCTGGGGGAGCGTCCACAATGCAAGGGAGTGAACCCCCATGTAAAATTGCATTTCTAACTGCTGTAGCATTCCCTACATGCCCAGGTAGCAGCAAAGAAAAAGCAGACCTGGAAGTGCTGGTGTTTGAAGTCTTAGCACCTGAGACCTGTGAATGTGACCTGACTTGGAATGATGGTCTTTGCAGACACAATCAAGTTAGGACGGGGTTGTACTGGACCAGGGTGATCCCTGAATCCCAGGTCAATCCCAGGCCTGGTTTGAGTTTACTTTTCCTGTGGTGCAGGGGATAGAACCCAGGTCTTAGCAGGCACGGCTTGGCCTGAACCACATTCCTGGCCCCATAACTGCATTTGCCGAGACTTGAACATAATTGCACATACGACAGAAGGAAGAAGTCATAGGTGACAGAGGTCAGGACTGGGCAGATGTGGCCAAGGACACCAACATGACATGACTGGCATCACCAGAAGCTCCTTCCCTACAGTTTTCATGGGGGTCTGCTGAGCCCTGACATCTGACTTCTGCTTCAGAACTGGGAGGAGAGACACCTGGTTGTTTCAAGCTTCCCAGAATGCAGGGCATTGTGGGGGAAAGCCTGGAAATAGGCGTGGCTGGCGTTTGGCCGCTTTGCT